GTGGGTGTTGAATATCTCCAGGAGACTCCACAGCCTCCCTGGGCAACCTGTGCAGTGCTCCGTCACCTGTGCAGCACAGAACAACAATTCATGTAATCATTAATCTCACCCACACATGGATGGATATAGAAATTGATTGTGGTGTGACATTCCTTCTAGTAAGCATCAAAAATGAAAACAAAAAGCTTTAAAATAAGTCTGATAAATATTTATAAGTATCTCGAGACTCCCTGTTAGACTTGAACTCCATTAACACTGGACTTGTTGAAGCCCGACATTTATGTATATTGAGGCTGTTGACTTCCAAGGTTTGTCTCATGGAAGGTTTGAGGCTTGTGCTTGCTAATTAGGATCATGCACACATGGAGACAACTGCACTCTCCAATGCCTAATAATCCACATTTCTGGTCTTTCAAGTGCTGAGACTGTATATGGCTATAGGTGTCATCACCCTACACATTCACCTCACAAGTCAGACCATCCAAGAAAATTTCTCAGAAGGGACTTGATACTTTCAAATATTTTTTTCTAACCCCAAATTGAACTGAATTTCAATGATGTTTTGAGTTCTAGCTCCAGGCCAAGTTTCTAAATGGTTGATTTTTTGTAAAGAATGAATCCACACCCCCATTCAAAAATTCCTTATACCAGAGATATTTGTGAGAAAAATCATATCCTAATGCATTTTAGAAACCATAGCTATTTTATTTTGGATTGCCAACTATAACAAAGAAAACATGAAATATTTGCCTTCTGTAAATATCTTGGGTTAAAAAAAGTGGGCTACAATGGCATCAAATAGATAAGGCTTTTTTTCAGTTTTATAGAATCAGCTGTATTGAAGTGTTATTACAGTTAAATGAATAACTGTTTTGTTTGTGTGTCTGTGTGCATGCACACACGTGTGTATGTATATACACACATATAGATATATATATATATCTACACACTGGAAATGAGTAATTTTTACATATACACACCAGAATTAGCCTAATCTGTCCGTTCCTAGATAATATAATTTCATAAATATGACAGTCCAGTGATTCAGATTGCTTTATGATCTACAACACTGTGGTACATTACTTTTGACTACTAATTAACAGTCTTTTCTGTCATTGTCACATATAATGAAAGGGCTATTACAACAGCATGGTCCACAACACTCTAGGAGGCTTTGCTCTTCACAACTTGCCACGACACTGTCATTTATCTGGACTCAGACAAGCTTGGTTTGTTTCTGTAGTGATGTTTTTGGAAAGGTTAGTGGATTATCAATAGTCACTTTAGATGTACAAGCCAAAGGGAAAGAAATGCATGGAAAACTAATGAAAAAGGGGTTTGTATTCCTCCTGTAAAAGGGCACAGCAGTCAAATCAAGTTGATGTTTGACAATCCTGGGAGATGTGAATTTTCTTCTGGGAAGTAATATGGGCTGATTGTCAGAGTTTCAGCTAATAATACCCAAACCAGAAATATCGCTCTCTCTTTGAACTGTTCCATAGCCTCTATGAGTTTTATTCATAGACCTTGGGAGGGCTTGGAAGACATTTAAGAGGAACAATCCATTGAGATTTAGCATGTTTGCATATGTAGTAAACAAAAGAAATCCAAATGTTCCAGGACATAGAAATGCGACAACAAACCCCCAAGTACCAATGTAGTGACGGTGCAATATCAATACTGTTACAATTAATAATTTAGTGTGTCTATGTCATGGATTAGAAGTATTTTAAATATGCATTAGGATAGACTTTTGTCTTTAGGAATGCTCTAAGGTGTTTTGAAGACTGAGCAATGTAACGTGGGAGAAGGTTTGCTCTGCGTTTTTCAGATATAGAGGTCCAACTCATTCTTCAAGCACAAAACTATTCAGTTCCTAGTTAATTATGAGTTTAATCCCTTGCAAAATTTGTGAAATGCCTTTGCTAAAGTGCCCCCGTACCTGTCCTTTCTGCTTCAATGTTTCTTCTACACTCTCTGAGAACCAACTTCTCCATTGCAGTTTTGTTTTCCACTTCCAACTCACACGTGAAAATTGTCAGTGGACTTCAGCTTTCCCATTGGCCTGGCACTCTATCCTGTAAAATGCTTTTTCACAGCAGGTCATTGATCTTATAGTCTGGTTTGAAGGTAGCTGAAATATCAATATAGCTTCTAGCAATTTTCCCCTGATGTTTACTCCCATGATGTATGGATTACAGTGCTGAAAATGCATTTCCTAATCCCTTGATAAAGATTACAGATCAGTAGCACGGAAATTCTTCCCCCAGATTGAAGGCATATCCTAAATGGTTTTGGTCCTCTGTATTGCCTGCTGTATTTTCTAGACAGAATGAAGTTTATGCCATTAAAAATAATAATAGAATTACTCAGCTGACTATATCCTCAAGAGAGTAATGTATGAGAGTATGTATATGCAATGCTGCAGTAAGTAGAACAACAATGATGCTTGAAAATGTCATATCGTGCAATAAAAAAAAAAAAAACAATCTTTGCAGTAACAATTGCAGTTTCTTGCACACATCTGTCCATGTTGGCAGCAGTAACCACTGCTAAATGATAACATCCTTCATCTAAGGCCAAATCTCTTCTATGAGAAACAGATGCTAAGGCTAAGAATATGCATCAGGGGGAGAGAATTGATCTGCTTCCTTAGCTTTGAGTAAATGAAGTGGTTTAATTGCAGTAAGATATTGCATAGTCAGAACCAGAAAGCAGGAATGCTGTTTCAGATGTGATGGTGCTATTTATTTTCCTGCGGCTGCTCAGGAGGCAGGCAGTAGCAGCAGCAAGAGGCCAAAGGAGGCTGTAGTAAGAAACAGAATGGTCCATGGGATACAGAAGGAGCAGGAGAGGTCTAGGGCTGAGCAAGAGAGAAGCTGGAAGTGAGCAGAAGTGAGCACTGGAGGTGGGAAGGGTTTGTGTTTACTGCATTGCCTAGGGCTCTGGGGGGAAAGAGAAAGTGTAAACAGATGGAAAGCACAAAAAGGACTGTATTTGAGAGAGACTGCTAATCATGATTTAGGCATATATAAATAAATGAAAGAAACTTAAACAGAAAAAGGGGTGTATTACAAGTATCCCAGGCATTGCTGTCAGAATGTTGCTTTCTACTGAAAGCAGTCAGTGTATGGAACACAGTAGACTTTCCTTAAGACTATATCTGATGCATCCATATTTCCTCATTTGCTGCATGTATAGGATGCTAGCCAAGTTTCATATTTCCAATTGTACATTAGTGTCACCTGCAAACACAACTCTTTGGGTAATTTTGCATCCAGTGTTGGTGACTGTCATTTCTTTGCCATAAAAGGATTGGGGGGGTGGGGGCACAAAGTTTTGATAAATAGTATCGTTTCCTCCTGAAGTGCTTGTAGATCAGGAAGTGATTAAAAACTAAATCTCCGGATCAGTTTACCTACTACCAAAATGAAGCCAACTATGAGATGAAATGTAACTGGTAAGCACTGCAGTGACGGCCCGTTGCAGCACCTTGCGGCAGCCTAATACTGAACCTGGTTGTTATTGCTTACACTGAATTTTTTAACTGAATTTAATCTTTGTTGATTGGATTGTCTGTGTTTTAACATCCAAAATTATCTTCTTTGGTTGGGAGACTGGTGTAAAAATATTTATTGTAAGGGATAGGTGGATATAAAGGATATGTAAATGTCTGGATTGTAAGGGGCTATGAGGCTACTTGATTAGTGGCTATTCAACATAAAAAAAGTAAAATAAAATGAGAGAGGAAAACAAGTAATGAAATCCCCAGATACTGAAACTGTAGGGAATAAGAGATACCAGAAATGATAGCAGAGCCCACAGCTGTCGGGAGAAGTTCAAACAGAACTTTGTAAGAGAAGGGGAAGTAAGGTTATCAGATGTCTGATAGGAAAGAGAAAACTTATTACAGTATGTTTTAAAGGGGTTGTGGGAAAGTGTGAAATGTTTTTTAGGATGTTTAGGGGAAGGGCCAAGTGCAGGGAAATGAAATGGTCAAAGTGGATCAGGAACAAGTGTATGTAAATGGGAGGAGGGGAGTATAAAAAGGGCTGCTGGTATGTAACCATGCTGGTCAAGTACTTATCTGACTGAGCTCTGTGTCTGGTTACTGAAGTATGTCCCATCTCTTTACTAAACTCAACTCCTAGCTGGTTTTGGTGTGATCCCACTTTCTGTTTGGTGTGTACAAGTGTGGGGACAGATGTGGTTTATTAGTGGACTTCTGGAAGGGCTGAGGCAGTGCCTGGGCAAGGGGCATAAAGTCTGGATGTTGGACAGACTTAGCTCACACCACTGTTTGAGGGATCTGTAAATATTGGTGAATCACACAAATGGGAGTGTGTGCCTGCTTCACCAGCAAGCTTCAGTCCTCATCAGCTGGACAGGAGGAAGAGGATCAGGCCATCTGTGCTTACACGAGTGCAATTTGTTTTTATGAGTGTGCTGCTGCTGGCCCTGCTGTCTGTGCTGGTCTGTAAGGTTGTCTCCGTGTGTCCATGTGTGCATTGGCACCTCTGGAGTACAAACTCAGGCTTTCTACTGGCAGGACCTGCAGGTGGAACCAGTGATGGCATCTATTGGACTGGAATAGGAAGAGCCTCCTGGGTCTAAGCAGGCACTAACCACAGCCCTGGTGGATGGGGCCCCCAATCCCCTGGGACGGGAGCCCTCTGCATCCCCTCTCAGTAACAAGTGGTGCTAGTGTTAGTAGGCAGAAAGAAGTTAAAATATCACAGGTCCTGCTTCCTAGAGCAACCAGCTCTAGGAAGTAATTAATGAAATGTGAGGACATCTGTGACTAGGGTGCTGTGATGTGAAATGTGTTATATTTGCAAACACTTTGTAGATAAGTGCTTCACAAATGAGACATTAAAAGGTGCTGTATTTTTAAACTTGCAAAGGCTTTCTATTATTGTGAGCACTAATTTTTGCATTTTATAAATTATAAGATGCATAAATTTTGCATTCTAACTGTTTTGACTCCTTGCTGTCCCTAGGGGAAATGGAAGAGTTAGAAACCCTTTGGCTGACTGGCATTTGCCACAATGAGAAGAACGAAGTCATGAGCAGCCAGCTGGATATTGACAACATGGCAGGAGTGTTTTACATGCTTGCAGCAGCCATGGCACTCAGTTTAATAACCTTTATCTGGGAACACTTATTTTACTGGAAACTTAGATTCTGCTTCACTGGAATCTGCTCAGATAGACCGGGATTATTGTTCTCAATCAGCAGGGTTAGTATTGCTTTCGTTTTCCTGCTTTAGGCAATAGGCAGTATAAGCCTGCCTCCCTAAAATGTCACCTTTCTTTTTTATTCCCACTTAGACATTTGAAATACTTTTTTAGAGCATTAACAAAGTGATCAGTGGCCTTAGGATGTAATGGCACTCCATGGGAAGTCTTTTCTCCGCTGAATTATTCTAGGGTATGAATGAACATTTGTCAGGATAATTGATAATCAAATGCTGAAATCTAATATGTTTGGAGGAAATTTTCATGAAAGAAAGGTAGAGACGCTAATGTCAGACATTAGCTCTCAGTTTTTGTATTTCTTATACAAGTGGATTTTAAGTGATGAAAGTACTGAGCTAATTTTTATATAGGCTTTTCTTCATAGCAAATTCAAATAACCCATATGAGAAAAGGTCAAACACAAGTGTCACTATGTTTGGTTAGATAGTAAGACAGTTTTTAGTGATAATATTACCGAATCCAAAGTGGATTTACATATCCAAGTAACTTACATGAATAGTAAGATAAAGGAAGTAGGTGCTTTCTGTTATATTTTTTGACAAATGAGTATTTCTTGTCTATTTTTTTTAATGTGGTACTTTCATTAGCTAATGGACTTTGCAAGATTTTTCTATATAGCTGAGGATAATTGAAAATGGTACAAAATTGCCTAATTGGTTAAAAATATACTGAAATTACCCTTTTGAATAAATTGGACTTTATTGGAACTGCATTAAAAAGACTCTGCCCTAGCCTGTTGGAGGTAGCCTAGTAAGGCATATATATTTTTTCCTCCACATTTTATATATGAACTTTATTCTTTTGGCCTTTTACATGTGAAATTCTTTTAACCTCTATGGTGAAAAAAAAATAATACTTATTTCAAGTAAGAGTTACAGGATGGACTTCAGCAGTTTTGCTCAAAATGAACTCAATTTCAGGCTTAGAAAGAATCAGGATTTTTTCATATGTGCTAGGACAGGAAACAGGAAAGCAAAAATGCCATGATTGGAAACTTTTTCATTTCAGTGAAAGTGAAGAATATCATAATATCAAAGAAAATAGCCTGAGTGCAGGCTTCTTTAAGAGTGGTAATTTAATCACTGGTTTAGAATAATAGTGTTTCCATTACTGAAGGTTAGTTACATTTTGTGATGGGATTAGGGAACCTTTTGAGGTCAAGTCTATTTTTATTTTTTTCTGGAATAAGCATGGGAGACCAACACAGACCGCTGGTTTGTAAAGTACTGGCATTCCTTCTCCTTTACATTGCCAACAGATATGGCAGAAATTATCCTTCCAAATAGATGAAAAGAAATGCCAGATGGGTAGATATCTACTTTTTATCTTTCTATTAATTAAATAAGCACTGTTTATTTTTTCTTTACTGCCAATAAAAATAGAATGAAAGTATTTTAAATTTGCATCTAGTGAATTAATTTGTTTTATATTACTCATATTACAGGGTATTTACAGCTGCATTCATGGAGTACATATAGAAGAAAAAAAGAAATCTCCTGACTTTACTTTGACCAATTCCCAATCCAACATGTTAAAACTACTACGAACAGCAAAAAATATGACTAGTATCAATCCTTCAAGAATTAACTCCCCCAAAAGAACAGCTGATTTTATTCAGAGGGGTTCCTTGATTATGGACATGGTCATGGATAAGGGAAACTTGGTGTTTTCTGATAACAGATCCTTTCAGACAAAGGACAACTTTTTTGGTGAAAATGTGAGTGAACTGCAGACACTTCCAGGCAATCGGCACAAGGACAATCTTAACAACTATGTTTTCCAAGGTCAGCATCCTCTCACGTTGAATGAGTCCAATCCAAATACAGTAGAGGTTGCAGTAACAGCAGAAACAAAAGTGAACTCCAGACCCAGGCAGCTTTGGAGGAAATCTGTTGAATCTTTACGTCAAGAATCTGTACGTCAGAGCCAAGGTTCCCAGAGGGAAAATGGGTCAGATGAAAACAGGCAACTTTCAGTGAAAAGCCAAAGATACCTTCCCGAAGAGGTTGTCCATTCAGATGTATCAGAGACATCAAGCCGAGCTACTTGCCATATGGAACCAGAAAATAACAACAAGCACCACAAAACCAAGGACAATTTTAAAAAAAGAACAATAGCATCAAAATACCCAAAAGACTGTAGTGAAGTGGAACTAACATATCTGAAAACCAAGCAGAGCTCTCCACGGGATAAAATCTACACAATCGATGCTGACAATGAGCCAGGATTCCGCTTGGACACACCTCAGTACATTGAAAACATTGTCCTTCCAGAAACTATAGAACTTCCTGATGTTTATCAAGATCACAATGACAACTACAGGAAAGCAGAGCATGCTAACAGGACTCCCCTACATAATGAAGACAGTCTTCCAAATAATGACCAGTATAAACTTTATGCAAAGCACTACAGTTTAAAAGATAAAAATGCTTCCCTAGTTGACATGAATGATAGATACAGACAGAATTCCACCCACTGTAGGAGCTGTCTTTCTAATTTGCCCACTTATACAGGACATTATTCAGGCAGATCTCCCTATAAATGTGATGCATGCTTGCGGATGGGGAACCTCTATGATATTGAGGAAGATCAGATGCTGCAGGATACAACGAACTTATCACTTCCTGAAGAAATATACGAACATAGTTGGTCACATAATAATGCTCTGCAGTATCATAAAAAAAACAAGTTGAGGATTAGCAGGCAACATTCTTTTGATAATATTGCTGATAAATCCAGGGAAATTGATATTGGAAGACCTGCTCGTAGTATAAGCTTGAAAGAAAAAGAAAAGTTTCTACAAAGTAGTCCATATGCAAGCATGTTTAGTGTTCCCTCAAGCAAACTGTTGAGCAACAAAGCCTCACTTTTAACTCATGCTCTGGAGGACAGTAAGCGGAGCAAGTCCCTGTATCCTGTTCACTCAGAAGATAATCCCTTTCTGCACTCGTATCGTGACGACCAGCACTTATCTCTTAGGCGAAATCCACCTGATTTTTATAAATATTCATTACCATCCAAAGGAAGAAATGATAATTATTTAAGGTCATCCATAAAGTCTACAGCATCATACTGTTCGAGGGATGGTCGGATCCATAATGACATGTACATTTCAGAGCATGTTTTGCCTTATGTTGCAAATAGGAATAGCGTGTACTCAACTCCAAGGGTTTCAAATTCCTGTAGCAATAGACGTGTGTATAAGAAAATGCCTAGCATTGAATCAGATGTTTAAATTTTCCATGAACGCTTTATCTATAGGGAAAAATAGTTGCCACCATCTTAGAGGGAGAATATTTTCTTTAATAGTATCCTGCTGTAGTAAATGATATATAAACCTCTCCCTTTCTCAGTGTACTTTTGTACATGAATAGATAAACTAGTATGCTCTCAACCATCCTTTTAAAATATGTCTTGTTGAAAAGGAGAAAAAAATAGCCATTTATGTATACTTTATATAAATGGCGAGCTGTACGGGAATAGCCCTAATATATGTTGGCAACTATGCTGTTTTGTATCTAATTATTTTACTATTTTGGTTATTCTAATTTCTGTTGCTAAGTATCATTCAATGTACTTTTGTCCTTAGAAATGTTTAATGATTTTTTAGTACTGGATAAGCAATATGGTATGCATGTACTACGACACAGACAAAAAGAATTAGGAATGCATTTGCACAGTTAAAGAAAAAAAAAAAAAAGATTAAACAGACAGCTAGGCTTTCAAAAATATATTTTAGCTTCATAATCATTTTCAAAAAAAAAAAATCAGAAAAAAAAAAACCTCCAAGCCCCAGAACCTTAATTAATATAACACAATATGTTAGCACAAAATTAATACATTCATTCTAGACTGATAGAAAATAAATGGGAAGACCATAGACCCAAACATGTGAACTGCTGTGTACCAAAAGGAAGCCCTGTAGATTTTGGTTAGTTAATATACAAATGCTGTTCTTATATTTCACATGCACTTGCCATTACAAGCTAGGTTCACTGAAAAGTCTGCAGTCATCTTGTCAAAAAATTCACAGCTGCCTAATCCAGAGTATATATTTTTAACAATCAGTATGTGTCCCTTATTGTGGAGCTGTGGTCATCATTAGTAACCTTGAGACCTAATATGTATGTAAGTTTGCATTTGCCCCTTACTGGTGATTACTCAGGGTTGTATAGTATTTCTTTTATTTCTTCACTTCCCAAACCAAATCCCAACCCACAGTAGTTCTTTGTTTTTAGCATGTTAGTGATATCTAATTAACTGTATGTTAATATTACTAAAGCTGTTAATACAGTATCAAATACCAACAGCCATATATTCAGTGTTATCAGCAAGGAACGCAATACTGTTTATTTGCACATACCATGAAGGATTAACACCTTGTAAGGGACTTGTTCCTTCTGGAATATCATACATATTTGTTGAACATCAGACTAGTTTCTTAACCTCTCTAATCAAATCTGTCATATAAATTGAATATGTGCACACAGCTAAGGAAGAGTATCATCACTCACCAATATGTAAAGATATTCACATAACAAGGATGACTTTCATTTTTAGTAAAGGTTAATCAGGATGTTTCAAAAACAAAGTGTGTTGTACACACCTCTCTCCATGCCCTATAATCATAAGGGAGTGTGGCAGGGATGAGAGGAAGTCTTTTGTGAGTAGAGTATATAGTTGTAAATTTTATTTAAACTAAAGAAGTAAATTGGTAATATATTTAAATACTGAAAGCATCAACAGGTGGTGCTCTGCCATTCTCCTGGTATTCTAAGAATTGCTCTATTTTTTTGTGTGTGTAGAGGAAGTTTAGATTATTCAAGTGTTATTCCTTACATTTCACTGAAGATCAGTGAACAGGGAAACCATTACCACTGTGAATTGGAAAATGTAAATATTACCCTAACTTTTCCCTAAACTAAAATTCTTCTCAATAGAAAAATACTTACATCAGCTGTAATTGTATATCTGCACGCCAGAGGTACAGTATGCAAGTTGGTTAGTGTGGAGTAGCATAATTCAGAGGAGAGCTGCAAATGGGAAGTAATATAGATGATGCATAGGGATAGACAAATGTGGCTTATTGATTTTTTGTTTACAATTCTTTAATTAAACAGATTTGAGCTGACTTTAACTACCAAACAGTCCACAATGAGTTCTTAGTATTTAAAAATTTAATTGTGCATTCACCATAAAGGTGAAGGATGATATTTTTGAAGGAATAAAATGCACAGGGAATTGGGCTTTCCAAATCCCTTCCCAGCTTCCAAAAATCTTAGTATATCTTATTACATCTATGTTCAGAAAGCATATCTATGGCCATCTTCACTCTGTCCAGAATAAATATCTTCTGAGTATTCCTTATTCAACATTTAGTCATAATTATTGTATGTCATTAACATGATCTGCTTTCTGGTGCCTCACTGCCTCCAGTTCTTATAAACAGAAGATCCTTGACTGCCCTTGCAGAGATTCCTATCTCATAGAAATAGTTGTATGAGCTAAGCAGGGCTAGGATGTTTATGGGTGGGATGAACACTACTTGTCATAAATGAAAACCCTCTCCCATGTGTATAAAATATTTGACTTTGGTCTACAGGAAGGCAAATGCACTAAAGGTATAAATATTGTTGTAACAATTAATTAAAATATTTGAGGCAAATTTTCATTTTCCATCATAGTAGACTAAGTAAAATCTTAAGTATTTTGAACTACTTGGTGTGTTTCAGCAGACTGGCAATTTGTTGGTGTCATACCAAAAAACTAGGTTGTAAGTTGCTGAGAAGTTTACCAAGCAAATCGTGAAGCTCAGTGGTGGCTTATCATCTTAAAGCACTCAAAACATTGACTGCAAGTTGTTTGTAATATCATCTCTATCTGCAGCTAGATGCCCATACTTCAATATGTAGACAAATACTGTATATAACGTTCTGGGAAAGAAAAATTCCCAATTACAACATTTTCTAAATAAACTGTTGAAATCCAAATGTAAACATCCTAAACCCAGGTGGATTTATCCTTCTGTGGGGTATCCTTCTGTACACTATGAAATGTACAAGCAAATTAACTAAAAAAACCTATACTGCAGTGTTTGCTGTTTCTGATTTGAGCAGATATCAGGTGACAGTAGAGATTTGTTATTAGCTACAAATGTGTAAAACAATCCCACACCAAACCAAATTAAAGAGACAGACGGAAGACTTGACAATGTTGCACAGCAGTTGCTCACATGGAAATAAAAAATGCTGCCTTATAAGAAAAAAAAAAAAGAAAAAAAAAGACAGATACTGAAAGTAGAGGGATAAGAATCTGCATGCATTTGTGGTTTTGATCTTGGCATATATTATGACTGAATCCAAGGGGAAGAAAAGGCTAAAATGTAGGGTTTTAGATGAGTAGTTGGTGAGGTTGTTGGTGTATACATGTAAAGAAGATGAAGCTGAGAAGTTGAAGGAAAAGCTTTTAAGAGTAGAGCCATAAACCACAGCTTATGAGACTCAGACGTGTGGAATTCTGAATATTGCCTGAGCTTTGTTGATATATTTGCGTTGACTTTCAATTAAACTGAGATCAAGTCTTTCTGTATTTCCCTCTCTCTCACTCTAGCTGCTGCTATTCTTGAAGAGGAGAAAAGAATCTTCCTGCATAAGTGGCCATCCTTTCTGTACCTTTCTGGATGGTGCTGGTGACTTGTTACATTTTCCTGATTACAGCTCTAGCAGATTGTTGGTCATTCCTATCACCAAGAATTCCCGTGACTCCAGCTGGAACTGAATCAGGCTGTAAATGATATGGGCCATTCTTGGTAGCATGTCCCGTAGTGTTACACTGCTCCTGGACAACAACTTTTATGGAGGCAGGATATTGAGTTGCTGAGGAATGGAGTAGGTACATGGAGGTAAAAACAGCTACATAGACATGCCTGCCTCTTGCTTTTTTCCTCTTTTAACGACATTGTAGAATTTCTTCATGTTTTTTGTTATTCCCTTTTCACCACAGTAAAATTACTTTTTTCTTTCAAATGGATTTTGTGTTCTGCTTGTGTTTCATAGAGCAGTGTAGCCACCCACTAACTTAAAAGCATGGAAATAAGATACATTAATATATAAGATAAAATTAATGAAAATTAAGAGTTCTTTGTATTTCTGGAAACTTTCATTTAATGTTTTGGTAGCTTTTGCTCAGAATTCATTATTCTGCTATTTGAGAAGCTTGGTTAGGAAAAAGAGTGCTGTGGACAAACTGAAACCAAATCACCACCAGCTCCCCATGTTTTGGCAGCATCTCATGAACCTGTCTCTCTTTCTGTGATCTTTCAGGAACATGAGGTAAATTAAGGCTTACAATAAAACTGAGGGAAATATAGACCAGTATAAAACTAAGATTAGTATATATAAAACTAAGGTGGTGTTTTTTGTTTTTGGTTTTTTGTTTTTGTTTTTTTGTTTTTTTTCCTGGTGAAAATAAATCTCATAGAATTCCAAAGGTAGCAAAAACTAGAGCTGTGTAGTCTTGAATTTCTGTGCTGGAAAGCTAAGCTCTTTCTGTCACCAGCTGGGGGAGAGAGGTAGAGAGAGAAAGCTCCCTCCTGATGGCAGTTCAGAGCACTAAAGGCTTGGAAGCAGTTATGCTGGTGATGTTTCCTGAAAGTATTCCTCTCTCTTTCTGTTGACTTTTTAGAAGCTACAGGCTTCTAACTTAGCCATTTCAAATAGGCGTGCGTAGTAAAGTAATGGTCTATTTATCTCCAGCCTTTAAATCTGCTAAATTGAATCTGCAAGTGAATACAGTTTAAAACTTGCAGGTCATATGGATTCCTGTGCTTATTCAATAGTTACTAAGGTTGCACCTCTCTGTTGTGGATTCTTCAGTACTTCTAACCTAGTCAGTATCATTGTTTTCTTTATACCATGTGACTATCCAGCATGAAATAAGAGTGTTAGCATCTATTCCTTGTAGAGTAACTTGCTATTTTTATATTTTGGCAGTGTAGCATATGTATCTTAGGGTACGCTGTTGGTGAAGACCTTGGTATTATTCCTTCCCTGGGTTCACCAATGCAGAACAGGAGTTGTGATACGAATCTAAGAGTCTTAGATTCAATCTAGATTTAGGAAGAATTTAAAGGGTGAATCTTTTTGTTGTTTTAGCATATGTTATATATGAAACCTAGTGAAAACAAATCTTTTACGATAAAGTCATCTCTTAGTTAATATAGAACAGCAACCATGGTGTGGTTTGGGTAGTTTGTGTTAAGTGTTGGTCATCACATCATGTGCTTCTTTCAAGACAAAGTGTATTTATGTCATGTATCTCCTTTCTAAACTTTACCATTCCCAGCTCTAAGTCTATTTTAGCTCAAAAGCCCCTTTGAAATAGGTATATTTCCTATATAGGGTAATCTGGTTTGCAACATAAAAACAGTTTTCTGCTGATATACCTGATTTGATAATTTTACTGATGTTATTTTTTAATCTAGACTTCCTTCATATTGAGAGCAGAGCCTTCAAAGTATAACAGTGCTGAAGGAACATCTGAAAGAGCACAAAGGCCTAAGTATGTCTTTTATGGTACAAGCCATTCTCCTTCTCCGTATAGCCTGCCTGTACTATCTCATTTAAATGTATTAGCAAAATGTTAGTAATTGCTACCAGTAGGAGGGAATTACAATTTAATCACAGCTATGTATTTATCTGTGGACTTGTATGCAATACAGGAAACTATAAGATATGATACAGAAAAGGCTCAACCTGCTCTGGCTGAAGTCACCTACAAAGCTGTGGTTAAATTACAGGTTATTAGAGTACAAATTAGAGTAGCCTCAAAACTGTCACATCTCTTCCATCATTCAGATCATGCAGAATTCTCTGTCTGATATGCACATATTGTACATAGTGTAAAATTCTTGTTGGTCTTTAGCTCTCATCATGGAATTAATCCCATGTTCACCTGTTTACCTTCATTGCAGTGTAGCAGCAATGTTTGTGGGATGGAGAAGTGGTTGTTCATGTTCACTGGTGACTGCTCCTCAGTTAACTGGGAGCAGAAATGCTGCCTTGCTTCTCTCTGCTCTGCAGGAGGAGAGTTACTGCACTGTTTGTAAATAAGCTCCTCATTCAAATCAAGCTTTCACTATTTTTATTTTTTTTTTCCCTCTGCTTCTCTGCACCTGTGTACAGAGTATGCTCTCTAAGAAAAATATGTGCTCTTCCGATGTCCTGTGACTTTGGAAGTCAGGATTACAAGTGTGCATCACCCTGCAGGGCAGTGAAAATGCACTCTGTTGTTCTTGCAGGTTCAGGAGCATTTTGGTTACATCCTGCAGGATGTATCTGCTGTGGTTTAAATTGTTTTTAAAATGAATACAAGTCTAAACAGCGGTAAGAATCCACTGCTGATTATGTGATGATCTTGTCATATCTATAATTTAAGAACCAGAAATAATACAAGTAAAATTAAGTTACCTCACTATTTACAAGGCTTTTGTTGTTTTGCATTTAAGTGACACCGTTTTACTCCTTTTACTCAATTCTTTACCTATATTAAATTAGTAGAGTATATAACCATGCTCTAATGTTGTCATGCGATACCTTTTTTAGTAGATAACCACATTAACTATAGTATTACATATTTAAAAGAGAGATGGTTTTAACTCTTCAGCTCTTCAAAAGTAGTGGTAATAAGTGGTTACACTCTTGGATGGTTTCTCTTTTCCCTTTTGTATTAGTATTTGTTTTCACTGATCTATTTCAAAAATTATATTTCTATGTGCACATTCTAAAACTGTGAAAATAAATACCAATAAATATTATGATACTTATCCAATGCACTGTAAAGTTCTGAATGAGGTGAGACTGTTTGGGAATTGATGAAGGTTTCCTCACTTCTCATCAATGGTATAAAGCTATACTGTGGGCAAATGGTAAAATTGACAGTGACTTGAAATTTTAATAGAGAATCTCTTGTTTTGCACTTCTAGTACTATTAAAAGAAATGGTATATATTTTTTTTCAGCAACAACATTAGGATAATACAGTTTTTTGTTTGAGTATTGTACATTGCAGTACATAAGAATAGCCTTTTTGAAGAGATTTATGTTACATCATCACTAAAGGATTCTTTAGTCTGATTATATTTTATTGAGCCCATTTAATAGCAACAAACAGTTTGGAAATATATTCTAGGTTCTGTTTCACACTGCCAAACTGTATCTGGACTTGCAGTTATGCAACTGAAGGCCCTCACAAGGTTCCTGTGTCCTCCTCTGCGGGGAATGAGGCTTTTCTTGTTCACTGATGGGACAAGATTGAGAGAGTTGGAAAAAAAATAAAATTGGAGGACATGTTGTGCAATATGTGAAGTATAAATGATCTTCAAAAGTGAAAAAAGAAAGGAAATTGGAGGTTCACAGTTACTCACATTAGCAAATGTTCTGTGATGGGCATCTTCGAGAGGAGGTGGTAATTATTAACAAAGGTGATTTGAATTCTGTTTGAGTTTATAAGTCACTGAGAAAAACGGGATTTTTAAAATATTTTTTTTCCAAGCCAAAGTCTTTATGTTGTCATACAAAGTTTCACAGGAAACTGGGCCAAAGAATACAATTAAATATGCAAAAGGTTAATCCTATGGAAAAGGATATCCTGTCATCCTGATATGCACAAGCATATTAATGGTAATAGGAGCAATGCGTGTAATTTTCCTGTATATTACTATGTAGGTTGCACTATTTTGAATGATACAAACCTGATATTTTAATTACCAAATAACATAAGAAGCTGTTTATTAATTGTTTAAACTTGTTAACCTAAATATATATACAGTATACACGTGTGCGTGCTTACACTTTCCCACCTAGCCATGTGTGAGTAATCTCCCCAAGCCGTAGAACACATTTCAGCAGTGCTTTATTTTAAGTGATTCTCTCCTCTCCTTTCCAAACCTCCTAAATCCAAACTCCCTAGAAACATTTACTGAAGAGGCTAAAAGACTTTCTGGGGATCAGGAGTGCCAGGACACGTGAAAAAACATGTTAAAGGAGAGTTCCTGTCTGAAAGAGCTGGAAATGATGCTCGCTATCATTTCCATCTAGCTAGGCATGGGAAAAGGATGTCTTCTCATGCTGTTTTGAAGATTCATGGCCAGAGACGGTCTTTTGGCCCAATGGTTCTGACTTTAAAAGCTTGTGTCAGTTTATGTGACCCGCACCTGGCCATTAAACACATTGCTTAAAGCAGCTGAGGAAGGATACTTAAAACCCAAATCTTATCAGGGAAGATCAGTTGGTCTGTGTACCAGCGGCAGCCCTTGTGTTTGTCCATGCAGACTGCACAGTTTTCAAAATGGATGTGGCACACAGAGGCAGTATTTAGCAGTTGTGTTAGTCAAAAATGTTTTTTTCTCAATGCATAGGCATTTGAACTTGTTATTACTGATGATGTGGAGATCCTGACCAACAGATAGTAGTATTCATCTTTTTTTTTTCTTATTTTCACATGATTCAAAATTTGTGATAAAAAATATCTTGGCTTGATGTATTTGAAGTCATACCTGAGCTTTTTTTTTTTTTTTTTGGTTACGTTGTCTTTATGTGGCCTAGGTCTGGATTCCAAAACACCTTTTGACTTAAACAGGGATGTGTGAGTGAGTGATGGCACAGCTGATCCTTAGTGCAATTCATGCTCAGAATTAAAATACGAAAACCAAATCTCATGTTGCAAAAGTATGGCAGTTGCATCATATAAAATTGTGTGCAGCTAGAAATGAAACTTGTGCAATTTTTAATAACTGTTTACGATTTATACTTTACATCAGCCTACTATTTTGAAGTAGTCATATTCATTTCAGAACATCCATTCTGCACTGATGAAGAACAGCTCGATCTCTCTGTCTTCACACCTCACACCCACATACACAGTGTATCTTGTGCCTTCCCTGTGAAAGCCAGAAGGTACAAACAGAATTCATTAATGTGTTAGGCAGACTCCTACCTGATTTTTTACTAAGTATGCTATTTTAATGCAAAATTTTGAACATACATGTATATATATATAAGCTATATATAAGCTTTTATATATGTATAAAGGTGGGGTTTTCTTTGGAGAAATGAGGAGCAAGAGAAAAATGCAGCATTGTGAGAAAGATTTATTAAAAGTTTCAAGTAACACATTGATCTTTTGAGTTTGATAGAAGCTATTTGCAATTGTACTCAAAAAAAAAAAAAAGAGAAAAATTAGTATTGGATCTTTGGTCATCAAGCTAAAGCTTCGGGTTAGTTTCTGTGTATCTTGAGAAGAATTCACAATACTAGATTTAGATTTTGCTCACAAAGAAAATTAATTATTAGTACACTTGGAAAAGTATTTGCATTCTGATGGGGAAAATAGTCCAAGTGTGCCAATTTGTACTGGTTACACAGAACACTAATCTACATTGTGGTTGAAGAGATATGCAATCCATGAATAACATCTTACCAGAAATCTTGGAACCACTTGATTCCATACACAGTAAATTAAAAACCCTATCACTTCTTTTATTTACTAGTACAATTTACTGTAACATTCTCAAGAGTGTAATATTTCAAAACAAAGGGTAAGTCATAAAATTCCAATTGCTAGCAAAGAACAGTAGAGGTTTGAAGTCCTCTTTTCACCTTGAGAAATAAATCAAGATGTTACAGTAGAAGTAAAAGTACATTGGTTATGGAATAAAGCATAAAAAAATTAATTTTTAAGTGAATCCAGAATTTTATGATAAAATTGATAGTTAAATGGATTCTTCAAAAGAAAAGGTTTGGGGAAAAAGAGAATAATTAAAAACTAGTTTTGACATTCCAATTACTGCCTGTTTTATTAGATAGGTTTAGGAAAATGAAATTATTTTTAACATGCAAGTGTCTGCACAGACAATTTAAACTGCCGTGCTAGGAAGTTATGCGTACACCTGGCTATCCCTGCATCCATCCATCCATCCATGCCTTTAAAACCCTGGTGGCAGTAGGACTTCCCCAACAGCACACATTGCAACTTGGAGGAGCTGGGAGTCATACACTTCTCTCCTGCGTTATGCATACCGTCTCACAGCAGTTCACCCCAACCATATTTTAACCCTGTGCATGACTGAGTGCTAATACTGTATAAATATTTTGAAACATATCTAAAATATATGTTTGCTTCAAACTTTTTATGATAGAAGAATATATAATATTATGGTTGTCTTACAAATTGTATTGTGTTCTTCATTTTTGTTAAATATGTAGAAAAACATTAAGGGAATGGGGGACTTGAATGTCTGTGTGTACTGAAATGTATATAACTATTTGGAGAAAACACATGTGCCAAGTATAACAAGATGTAAAAAATGTAAATATATGAAAAATTCATTTTTCTAATAAAGGTAATTTCTGCCAATTGATATGAAAATGAACAATTGAATCATTCTTGTCTGTGTTCCTTGTTAAATGGTACAAGATAAAGTGTCATCTATGAATAAGGCTTACCTTTTATTTTTTGATATTTGATTTGAAAGGTGTTAACGACCACATGTTTTGAGTCATCCTTTGCTGTTAGAAATTATCTAAGGGTCAAGATGCCTGAAGCTAAACCTGACAGCATATACTTGATGCTCCCAGTTTAATTTAATTCATGAAAAGGACAGAGACAATTAAGTTAGGAAAAACTCATTCAATGTGAGAAGTCTAGCTTGAATGATGCTCCTCAACAGAGGGAGCACAGGAGCTAAGCTAAGGATGGTCCATTATGGTATGACACCATTTTCATGTATTCTGAGCTACAGCAGCCACACAAAATACAAGGGGCCTGTACAAATATATATGTACAAATATTTATTGGCTGCAGAAATATAAAATCTCTTTGGGATGAGTGTGGAGGCAGCATCCAGCCTGAGCAGAAAATGGTGTCAAGGCTTCTGTTCCTAAAAGGTGCAGGTGTGAAGTGCTCCTGCCGTGACAGTGCTCTCACAGATGGATAAGGTGAGGATGGGAGAGAGCAAACCAAGGAGTAGAAAATGGCAGATGTGTTCAATGTCTTTGATATCAGCAAACTTGTTTAATGTTCTATTTAATCAAGGCATAACTTAAAATAGGGGATTTAGTGAAGCAATAAAAATATTTTCAGAGTTGACCTTTTGCTTGGCCAGTGGACCTGAAGGAGCAAGGTTCATAAGGAGCTCCTAGGTAGTTTTGTACGACCACATTTTCCAGAATTTAAAATCAGCTAATGAAAGTCTTCCTTTATTCACTAACAGGGGCATAAACAATCACTCAGCAGTTAGAATAATTTCTTTGATGCAGTAGGATGAAAGACATTATATAAATTCAAAGCATCATTTTGATAAGTGTGCTATGCAATGGTTAGTCTTGATTGTGGAGGCCTTTTCTATCCTAAATAATTCCATGATTCTATGAGCAGAATATAAAAGTAATGGATGGGAGGTGAAAAGTTGCTCACAGATCTCTGAGTAGAACAGTCCTGTTCATTTGTTCAGATAAAATGAGAGAGATAAAACTGAAATTCTGTTCTTAAGTTTTTAATGAGTAAAGACTGCTGGGTAAAGGCTGCTGGGCTTATGCTAAACTGCCAGAAGACAGTTTTAAAGGGACTTCTCTCTATTTTTGTCTAAAATTCCCACTTCATGAAGTAAAATAACATTCAGTGATCTGACTGGCTTTGTTCCCCTGCAGTGTTGTCTCCCAGAGGCCCAGTTCAAGTACTGAAAGAAGCAGAGGCCTGTAAAGGAAACAGATGATGCAGGAAGCAGTTGGTGTGACTCTAATCTGGAAATAGTTTTCTGGCTGAAGAGATGGGCTGGTTTTTGTATCCAGACTGCTCCTGCCATCTCTACCTGACACGATAGTTCATTTCCATCAGTGCATGTACAAGTCATGTCAACTTCAGGTTTAGTTCCCTTTGGATTTGTTTCTAAGATAGTCATGTTCTCCCAAAACCCTCTTTTGAATCTTTGCTGATGTGCCTATGGCAACTGCAAGAACTCCACAACTTTGCTCATTTAAAATAAAATTAAGTGGTGACTGGGAAACAGAAGCATTTTAAGTCTGACATGCTCTGCATGGTACTGGCAGCAGTGTTCATAGCAAAGCAAGCCATTTGCTTGGTATGAACACAAGTAATTTGGACACAAAACCAACTGTCTTAAGGCCAACTGCTAAGGTCAACTTGTCTCTATATACAGGAACCCCAAGCACCCTAATTGTATTGTTTTTTTCCACCATTGGTCACACTCACCACTTGTCTCTCTGCCTCTCCCAGCAGTTTACAAATAGCTTTACCTTCCCTTTGTGGACTTGTTCCAGTACAAAAATCAAATAATGGCTCCTACAAATTGCATCAAGTCTATTGTGCAATCTATCTATCCTGTACCACTTCTGTTCTTCTCCAACTTGCAGTCTACTTCTAATCTACTGATAATTTATTTTCCACTAGTTAGCTTACATAGGATGATCATTACAAAAGTTGTCTCTATTATTTTCAAATCAGTATGCTCAAAACTTACTTATTAAAAATAATCTCTGTTTATAATGTGATGATAGCTCCTTAAGTATCATAATAACAATTATAACACACTGAAGTTACTTAGGTGGGCAACAAGACACAGTAATATCAAAATTAGTCATGATTAATGTTGTTTACACATGGTTATTGCAAGGACAAAGACATTTTTCAAAGATGTCCATGCAGTTCCAAGTTTCATTTAACAGCAATAGTCCAGGAGCCTTAAAATCCTATTTGTGCTGCAAAAGCAGTCTGTTGTTTCTTTCTCTCTTTTTAGAGTGGACCTCAACCTGCTGGGTAGATGTGGCGCATCTAGTGAGACCACTGAACATTTTCAGAGTCTATGTATAGTCAGGCAGTAAGACCTAATACTTTATGTAAAGACCTATGAAAGTTACAAAATGCTGAAAATCTGAGCATAGGACTTTAAAGAGAAAAAATACAATATTAACCAGGTTTGAAAGTCTAAGACCTTCTCATTATGGAAGTGTGTAGTTCCACTAATTACTCTGAGGACTGACAATATTTGGCCACACAGAAGTTTGGCTGTGAGCAGCACTCTCCCTTTCTACTGCACAGGGAAAACAAACCAAGTAGGAATCATAGCAGACATTTCTCTATGCACAAGGGAAAACAGAGGCTTTGGACGGGTTTTACTTCCAATTTCCAAGCATAATTTTGTCAGTTGAGAAGTTTCACAAATGAAAAAAAAACTTTTGCATTTGTACCATAATACCATAATGCTGATTTTACCCTTCTCTTTCCCCAGAAAGAGAAAAAACTTGTAATTCTCATGGTAGTTGAAATGCCGCTAAGTTTCTTTACTGCAGATACAAAAGATGAGCCATTTGTGTACCCTCGAGAGGATAAAAGTAGTAGGAAGGGGCTGACTAGAATAACTTTGATTTTCCTCTGAGAACCAAACTGCCGTTGCATTGATCTGGCCACAAGGAGTGTTTCCTCATACAGGCTTTGAAATCTGCAGAGTGAGTTAATCCCTGGTACCCATATTATTTCACACATAAATACATGTGAAGGGCTTACGTCTAAAAGAAGGGGTGGGGATGATGCGGAGGGGTTTTGCTGTGGGAGGAACTTTCAAATAGTACTCAACAACTGTAAGCATCCTGCAGAAAAATGGTGCAAACATCTTTGAACATGTGGTTGGTTCACTTGTAAGAACTTCTCACTGTAAATTTTAACCAACCAAGAAAATAATTCATTAAATTCTTTAAAGAAAAAACTCAAATTATTACTCCATTTAATTTTTTACCTTAAACAGAAATGCTGGAATGATTTCTGGAAGATAATCAGGTCATGTTTTACTCAGCTTTAAGCTCACTACTGCTTCTTTCCATGGATGCACTATTACCTCAGCAAATAGCGCAACCAATGTGACCTTAACTATATTTGTACTTTTGCTTGTTTTCACATATCTCTTCTCTGAACAGCTCTACTCCTTTAACCTTCCTTTTAGCTTCCCATTCTCTCTGTCTACTCCTAACAGTTTTCTCTGTTTCTGTCCCTGCTAGAACATTATGGAAGTGTGATCTCCACCTTGAACCAGACCTGCTGGGTCAGCACATTTCCATGCATTAGATAAGTGCATTGTAATATCCATGTTCTTTTCTATTTCTGTCTCTAAAAAAAATAACATTGCATTTATTTCTGCACTGCCACTCCGCAATAGAAGATGATTTCAGTATTCAGAGCATAATGACATCTATAACTTTTTTTTTTAAATGATATTTTTGCAATCAAAACATTTAGATAGCTTAAATCATTTTGCTTGTATACATTTATTTTCTAGCATTTCTAAACAAGCCTTTTTTTTTTTTTTTCTTAATATTTGAGTCTGATAGATCACTTTAGATTTTCTTCAAAACATTCTAGCTTGGAATAGCAAAGAAAGGAAAGGTGCTGCATGGGCTAGGGCGAGGGCTAGCAGCTCTGTGCTTTAAGGGATGCTAGATGCAGCTGCATGCTTCTATGCCCCAAACGGCTGTGTGTGGTGGTACTGCATTCTGCGTGCTGAGGACTTTCTGAATTAATGTTCCGCAACAAAAAAAGCTTCATTATGTAATATGTTGTGCTGGGTTAGACCACTAAATGCTTTGAAGTCAGAGAATAAGAAATCCAGTTTAGGTTATCAAGTAATGTGTTAAATATTGATGTTTTCAGAAAATGGAACACTTGTCTTTAGTTCTTCCTGTGATCTTAAAAAATCACAAGTTTATTTCTGTGAGGAGCTGTACACAGGCAGCAGAACCAGGCATACAGGGAGAACTGAGTCACTGGTGAAACTAGCCCTATTTGATCATGGTATTTTTATGTATTTCTTTAGAGCAGTGGGTAGGGAGACTAGAGAGTACATGAACCAGACTTGCAGCTCGTTGCCCACATGAGTGTATTCCCCAGGTGGTCCTGTGTATTTCTTGTGGAAGCATTTTCTCTTTCTGAGGCTGGGAGGGAAAGTAAGATGTAAAGTTATCTGCAGTGTGATAATTTATGCTCTCTTACTGTCTGTGTGCTACTGCTTCAGACTGCAGTCTTGAACACTTGCATTAGTGCTGTAACAACAAAATCCTGTGATTTTGCATAAGGAGGTGACGTAGTTGTTTACACATGGGCAACCCCCAAAGAATTAAAAGTAAATTAACTCAGAGTGAACTGCTGTCTATTACCCCAGTGAGGATGCAGGGTAACTTTGTCTCAGCAGCCTGTGCACTTATGGCTGTGCTGAAATGCCCAGAGACCAATTATAACCTGGGACCACTCTGATTCTCCTAATTGCAAAGTGTTCCCACTGGCTTCTTTGTATGGGTGTAAATCAGAGAGAGTTTGGACTTAGTCTTTACCAGAAATTGAAAAGCTTTAATAGTCGAGAAATGTGGC